AAAATCTTCTGTATCAAAAATATTTAGCCTAATTTGAATTGTTGTCCTCCTATATTCTCTTTCTTCCTCTCAAATGAAGGGAACAAAAATGTAATATTTCTTACTCTAAAACTCTACAGCCTCTCTGTAAACTATTTGAATTTGATAACACCAAACCTTATAAAAATCTTTCATTCTTATGTGTTTTCACTATTTTATCTTGTTTTTGCCGATTTTTCATTACATAGTTGTCATCTTTCTCTCATTTAAAAGTAAATCTACAAATTTTGGATATTTATTTTTTGTCTTTTATATATTAGACTCTAATAAGTTATAGATTCAATATAATATTATTTTTTCGTTATTCAATTCTAATTATATTTTTGATGTCATTTGAACATTTTTGGATATGTTGTTTTTTTCAAATCTGAGTCAGACTTTGGAAGACTTTTAGAAGACTTCTAGGATGGAAGTCTACTAACTAGTCTTCTTCCAAGTCTCCTCTTTTATAATAGATTTGAGAGTTTTGGTAAGTTCTCATGTCTGGTTTTTCTTTATTTAGTAACATCTTCTTGCATAAAGCGAACTAAGATTCTCTAACCTCTCTCTAATCTCTTTAAACATGAAAATATCAATTTTTATATCAATTTGTCATTTTTCATGTCTTTCTTACTAATTTATCTTGTTTGCAGATTTTTATAACATTTTTGGATTTGTAGGTTTTTCAGATCTGAGTCAGACTTCCGAAGACTTATGAGAAGTATTCTTAGAAATTTTCTAACATATAATGACAAGTCTTCTCTCATATCAAGTGGAGTCCAAACTTGTCTTTGTGGAGAAATAATATATACTAGTTTTTTTATGGTATGTTTTGTGATTTATATGTGTACTCTTTTGTTGTGATTTTTTTTGTAAATTTGTAGAAATATTAATAAAAAAATATGGTAAATATGTTTATTGTCCATAATATTATCTTTCCAAAATTACTTGACATTATTGAAGTTATTGATACAACTTAGTAAACATAATAACACAAAATATAGTCAAATTTATTACAATTAAGGAAGCAGACTTCTCAAGAAAATTTAGTCAAATTCATAAAAAATCAAACATTACAAAATTTCAAAGATAGAACAATCTCACTAGAAGTATTCTGGGTGATTTTTGGAAGTCTTCTCGAAAGACTTAAATTTAAAACGGGAAATTCAAAATTTTAAGTGAAATTGAAATTTCAAATTTCATGAAAGTTAAAGTATATCTTAGGATCAAAGAAGACACATTAAACTATATGATTTAGTATTCTTGAAGTTACTTAACACTTTTGAAAATAAAATAAAAATCTTAAAGTTACTTAACAAATTTTTTTTTAAAATAATGTAGAATTCTCGAATTAGCTAGATATATTAATAAACAAAACTGTTGGTAACCTCATAAAGTCAGTCTTCAACAATCATTCTCGGTGGACCATAGTTAACTTACATATCATCTGCAAAAATAAAGTAGGAACAGATTAGCAAATATAGAACATAATAACTTCAAAAAGTTTGACCCAGAAGACTTCCATAAATTTCCCGGAAAGTCTTCTCTCATTATCCAAAAACATTAATAAACATATTTGATAACCTCTAAATTATCAACAATTAAGTTACGAATTTCATTCAGGAGCCCAAATATTGACTAATGCACATGAATTAAGAATAAAATTTTAAAAGTTATTTTAAATTTGAAGAAAATGAAAGTTTATTATACATTGTCGTAAAATTTAGGTCATTTTTGCAATTGAAAATTTACAAAGGAATACTTCTAAAGAATTCTCCTCTACACCAGACTTCTAAGGAAGTCTTCTTTAGTAAATATTGACTTACTTTTGTAATTGAAATTTTTTCAAAAATACTAGCGAAGAATTCCAGGGAAGTCTTCCTAGATAACAAAAATTAGTTTTGCAATTGATCAAACTGTGTCAGAAATTTGATTTCCGACAGAAGATTTCCATGTAAGTTTTCCTAGTGGAAAACTTATGTGGAAGTCTTCTTAGTTTTTTTACAATAAGTTTGGTTATGGTCGTTGGAAGTCTGCGTAAGTTATTTTTGCAATTAACTATATTTGATTTTTGTTGAGAAGACTTTTAGGGAAGTCAAAATCGATTTTTTGATATAGTCTTTTTAGATAAGATATGAGATAAAATGAGTTAAAATTAATTTTTTGATGCATTAAGAATTTCATATTGGTTGTTCATGATTATTGGGTAAATTGATAGCAATAATTTGATTTTTGTTGAGAAGAATTTTAGGGAAGTCAAAATCGATTTTTTGATATAGTTTTTGTAGATAAGATATGAGATCAAATGAGTTAAAATTAATTTTTTTGATGCATTAATAATTTCATATTGGTTGTTCATGATTATTGGGTGAATTGATAGCAATAATTTGTTTCGTGAATAATTGATGAAGATGAAGATAATAGATTAAAACTCAATTTTCAAAATAAATATAAAATAATGATATTTTCGTGAATAATCAGAACTTCTAGGATAAATAAAACAAATCAAAATTCTAATAAATAATGGATTAATTTTGGATTTGATTTTAAATTTTGAGTCAGCTTTACAAAACTCCCTTAAAGTTTTATATGAAGGTAGGTTATTCCGTAAAAAAAAATATTTCCCTCAATTTCATTTTATATCTTTCAAAGACTGTTCACATATATATATATATATATATATATATAAAATCATTAAATTTCTACTGTGGATAACAGTGTAAAACCTATAAAACATATTAAAAAATATAAATGAAATTGATCTGATACAACGACAAACAATACGCAGTGTTTTGCTAACTTATCTTATATATTAAAACAAAAGTCATATTTGACTTCATGTGTAATTTTTTTAAAAATGGACTATTACTAGAAAGTTATGTTACATTAACTCTCTTATGATCTTATCATTATTATATTTTATGAAAAATCATATATTTATAATAACAAAGATACGCTTAACAATTTGGTTTTGATAAATTACCCCACACCTTCCAACTTAGTCACGCAAAATATGTCAATAGATATAAGTTTAGGAATCTTCTATTATTTATAAGGAAGTATGTCAATAATAATTAAATGCATTCACAATATATTAACAAAAATCACATATTCGTAATATGGAATATTTATATACCCTAACAAAATTTACACGCTATATCTACTAAATAAATTTATTTTGATGTAACTTTTTAAAATTATATTGTTTAAGAAAAAATAAATTGTTTAAAAAAATATTTTTAACAAAATTCTTTATAATATTAATTTATGGAGCTATAAGTTTAATTTTTAGCAAAAATTTCTTCGAAATTTTTATTATCTTTGCAAATTAAGGTATACTAATATTTAATAATTCTCTATTTATATTACTTTATCTAAAAATGAAATACCATTCTAACAAACAATAAAATATAGAAGAAGAAATAAACACATGTTTGAAGACATATATAATATAAAAAAATTTGAAACAATCTATTTGATTAAAACACGTATTATATAATATTATTATGTTTGAAAAAAACATTAACTATACATATCAGATAATATATACCAATTTATAAGTGAAAACAAAATATTTATATAACTAAATATAAACGAAAACAAACATCCGCGCGGTTGCGCGGGTCAAAATCTAGTTATTATATATTAAAACAAAAGTCATGACTTAACTTCATGTGTGATTTTTAAAAAAATGGACTATTACTAGAAAGTTATGTTATATTAACTCTTTAATAATCTTATCATTATTATATCTTATGAAAAATCATATTTATAATAAAAAAGATACAATTAACAATGTGGTTTTGGTAAATTACCCCACACCTTCCAACTTAGTCACACAAAATATGTCAATGATATAAGTTTAGGAATCTTCTATTATTTATAAGAAAATATGTCAATAATAGTTAAATGCGTCCAAAATATATTAACAAAATCACAGATTAGTAATATGAAATATTTATATACCCTAACAAAATTTACACGCTATATATATTAGATAAATTTATTTCGATATAAATTTGTAAAATTATATTGTTTTAAAAAAGAAATCGTTTAAAAATTATTTTTAATAAAATTCTTTATAATATTAATTTATGAATCTATAAGTTTAGTTTTTAGCAAAAAAATTTTCGAAGTTTATATTATCTTTGCAAATTAAAGCATACTAATATTTGATCAAGCTCTATTTATATTATTTTATCTAAAAATGAAATACTAATCTAACAAACAATCAAATATAGAAGAAGAAACAAACACATGTTAGAAAAACATGCATAATATAGAAAATTTGGAACAATCTATTTGATTAAAATACGTATTATATAATATTATAATGTTTGAAAAACATTTACTATACATATCGTAAATATGTGATTACTATAATATATACCAATTTAAAAATGAAAACAAAATGTTTATATAACTAACTATAAACGAAAATAAACACCCGCGCGGTTGCGCGGATCAAAATCTAGTTTGAATTAAAATTTACTCTTCACCAATTTAAAATATGAATATATTCTCAAGTTAACGTTTTTTTTTTTTGCTTTTACAAATATCTCACAAATTATTTCATTTAATTATATATTTATACTAAGAAAATATATATAAAAGGTGATTATAATTTTTAAAAACTTTACAAAATAATAAAATAAAAATTTATATTGGTTTTTTTAAATTTATATAAAACTTAATTCATCAATAATAAATGCAATTATAATTTCTATTCAATAAATTTTGTAAGTAAAAAAAGATTCTATCCTTTGTAACCGGACAAAAATCTAGTTTTAGTTTAAGATGAACTGAATTCTGTTTTTTCTTTTCTTACTGTCGAAGATGAATTGAATTCAACTTGTATGAAAAGCAAAAACTAAAAATTAACAGTGTAATTCCTTACTATTATTTTATGGTTATAATAAAGTAAAAAAAAAATATACATTTAATTATAGAGAATAGGTTTTGAGAGAGGAGGGAGCCACTGATCCGAACAAGAATCGTCGGCCGCCTCCCTCATCATTTCTAGGGTTTTAGTCTCCAAATGGCGAATCTCATGCAGAGATTCATCAGGAACCAATCCTGTTTAAGAGCACTCCCCAGGCTTACCCCCAATCTCACATCACATCAGAAGCCTTGCATCGTCGAGTCTGTATCTGATCCAGTTCCTCTCACTAATCCCGTGATCACCATTTCCGGATCCTGGATTAAGCCCGATGAAGCTCTGCGGTTTTACCCTAGCTTCCCAATCGGATACGGGCTTAACCCGAGTGTGGTTCACGCTTCGGGTCTAATGGATACGGTGGTGGAGGGGACAGAGAAGGAGGTGGTGATTCACGCGGATAGTGTGAAGAAGAAGAGGAAGAAGAAGATGAACAAGCACAAGTATAGGAAGCTCAGGAAGAAGCAAGGTCGCAAATCTTGATGAGGTTTCTTTTGCTGAATTTATTTCTACACAGTTGCAATGTTATTTTGTAACTTCAATAATCGAATCTTTATGGTTTTGAAACAATTTGTTTTGATTAAGATGATGGGATTAGCCAAGCGGAGTTTGCTTCAAAGTTCGTGTCTTCTCTTTCTTGGAATGTCTCTTTCGGTGTTAGTTTTTTTTCTCAGAGATCGTTACTTGATCAGAAAAAAAGCTGAGATTTTTATTGGCTGCTTGATTTTTTTGATCCTGGTGACTTTTCTTGGCTGCTTTGATTGGTTAGTATGTTGACCTTGGAAACCCAGTGAGGATGAGTGTTGTTGCATGAGGCTACCTAGAATATTTTGGCTCAAGTCTGACTGGATGCTCTAAGCATTCATCAAGTTTCTTTAACTGGGGAAGTAATTAGTACAAGTTAAATTTAATTTCTTCAAGGGGGTCGATTTGGCACTGCCGCACTGACCATCTAAGGTTTAGTGCCATTCATGTAGAGTTGCTTGCTTCTACTACTGAAATTACTTGTCTCAGATTCACTGAGTGGTTCCAACCATTATCCTTAAGCCCCTATTTCTTGTGATTAATGGTTCTTCTGCTTTCTCAACTTTTGTTTGTTTGTTTAGATATATGATTATGGGTTTTACTTGTGGCAAGAGAGAGGTTTGTGAATGAGCTTAGAATGTAAATAGTTACGTTCAGATTCGTTTTGGGTTGAGAAACTAAAAATAGAAACACACAAATGTTTATTTATCGACTTTGAACTTGTTAAAATGAAAAAACAATGTAATGGAGCTACTAACTTTTACGCGTAACACAAAACATAGCCAACAACGACCAAGATCAAAACAGAAAACTCATAAACAAGATCAATAGTTCTGCTTCACAACGATCACGATTGCAGCCACGCAGGACCTGAGGAGCTCCACTTGCCACATATGATTGTAATCGCAATTCCACTCTTTTAAATCTGAGACGCACCTTCGTTATTCGACTGTGCTTTGTATATGCGCATGCAATTAATATTCCCTTGATCACAGTCCTTCAAATGTGCCGGATGGCGTTAATTAACTAGCAACTTTCATTTGGTTCAAAATCGAATAAAGTATATAGAAACTCAATTAACTAGCAACTTTCATTTGGTTCAAAATCGAATCTTATACTATAAAGAAGAGCTATACTCTCTTCTCCTTCATCCACGTCATAAACTGATGTCACAAATTCAGATCAAGAGAACTTGACATGTGTCCAACTGACTGAAACTCATCGTTTTATTTACTTCGTGATGGGCTTGATGGCGTATGTGGGCTTAATGTTTGTACTGGTTTCAGCATGCGTCAACACTCTAACCCTAATACGCGTTAGCGAAGAGACGAAATCTGGTTATCATCTTCTTGCGACGGCAAGGAGAAACGAGGTGACATTCCTGCTTCTGATGTATCAGCAACTGCCGAAGAAACGAAGTTTGTCTCTCATCATCCTGCGACGGCGACTCGATCACATTGATTCGCTCCCCTCCCTCACCACTATGTTTTATAGAAACTTGGTATTTCTCCGTCGCGATTCAGGGAGTTGCAGAGCGATTCCGGTGAAACCCAAGGAGATGGTCGCTGGTATCATTTCTTAGTTTTTTCTTAAAACAATGAATTGAATGATTGCTTTGTTTCATTTGGTTAAGTAATTGAATGATTACTCTGTTTTGACTCTGGAGTTTGATGGTTTATGATGAGAACAATGATGAATGTGCAGGTCTTGGTGAAGATAAAATAGTGATGATCAATCTAAGTCAAGAGTCAAAAATCCAATATATTTGGAGAATTTGTTTGAGGTTGTGGTTGATGATCTACAGAGCCTGAAACTGGTTAGTACTCGGTATCATTTTTACTTCGACATCTTGTTTGAAAACGAGAGTTTTACATTTTAATGTATACTAGAGTTTGACCCGCACGCCTGTACGGGTGTTATTCTTACAGTTATATATATATATATATATATCAATATTTTTCTATAGTTTGTGGTAGAGTATATCTTTTTTTGCATTTATCTGTATTAAATATTTGCTATTTGCTTAATATAACATTTATATAGGGCTGGACAAAAAATTTGAATTCGAAGAACCGAACCAAATTTGATCCGAAAAAGTAGTACTAAACCTAACCGAAATCGATTAAATATCCGAATGGATTCAAAATTTTGGTATTTAGAGAACCGAACCCGACCCGAATCAAAGTATTATGGGTACCCGAATGTATCAGAAATAGATTTATATACATGGATATATTAATTATTTTTAGATTAAATATATATTAAAACATCCAAAATATATAAGATATATTTAAATTATCCAAAATACTTAAAAATATATATCAATAGTCAAAAGTAAATGTCTAAAATAGCTAAAGTATACTCAAACCACTGAAAATACTTAAAATATCTATTGATTCTCTATCCAAATATTCAAACCAAAACAATTTATATATTAATTTTAGATATTTTAACATATGTTATTCAAATTTATATGAAATATATTATTTGTTTATAGATTTTGCGAAATTTAAAGTGTATAATAAATTTTACAAATTTTAAAATAATTTAAATGAGTTATCCGGACACAAGCCGAACCCGCAAAGATCCGAACCAAACTCCAACCAAAATTTATAAATATCTGAACGGGACCGAAATCTTTGATCCCGAAAACCCGAAACCTAAATAGACTCGCATCAAACCCGAGTGGGTTGATTTATACACCAAAGTTTTTCTTTATATGAGTAAATTTTATTTGTTTATCTAACTGTCAATCAGATTAATAATTTTATTTATTTATCTTACTATCGCATTGAGATATAGATTTAGTTATATAAACTATGCATTAAATAACATAATTAAATACCATTTTATTTAATATATTTTTATAATTGATTATTTACATGGGTTTGTAAATTTTTTATTTGTTAGTAATAAATATTAAGGAATAGACTACAATATTATAAAGAATATTTTGTTGAACAATTCGGATATAAAGAATATCGAGAATTGCGATATATAGGTAGACAAAACCAATATGCTTGATATAATATGGTAATGTCTTATTAAAATGTTTAATGAGGTACCAAAAAATAAGGCATGTTATATTTAACGGAATGTGTATAACAATTATTATTAGGCCTTAGGATTTGTTTTAATGTCAGTGGCAATCCCTTGTAAATATTTAGGAAAAATTAGGGTTAAGTTTTAATTGTACTTTTGTTTTAATAGATTAGATGCGTTTTCTATGTTTATAGATTTTTGGTGCAGAAAACCCGGTTCTGATATCTGCGGGTGAGCAAATTTTTAGTGCTGGTGGTAAGAAAACAAGGGCTTTAGTATTTATGTGTATAGTCTGAAGCAGTTATAACTAACTTCACAAGGGACCAGGCAAGTAGCTTATGAAACCACGAAGCTAGAATATATTTTTCTTACAAGATGTGGTTTGGTGCAGGTTAACTACTTCCCTTATGACCCGGTTCTGCAGAGAAGTATCTAACTTCACATGCAGTCTGCTATAGAAAACGTGAGAGGGTCAATAATCAACTCAAAATTGAATTCAAATCGGTTTCAGTTTCCTAAGGATTGTTCAGACAAGAAAACATATGATCTAAAAGTTCAAAATCTGTTTTGCAGTGTATTATTGAGAAAGAGAACAGCTTCAAGGAGCCTGAAGATAGATACGTTCCTTCACACCAGAGGTACACATTTTTTTAATATTTTCATTTTGGTGATATTCAATACATTTACATGTTTATTGTTTTATACTTGGTTTCTACTTCAGGCAAGAAAGTTTAATCGGTCGATGGATTGATGCTCTGTCAGACCCACCCTTCCCATCACTCATGAATTCCTCAGCATCTGGATATCTTACTATATAATCTGAAAATTTTCTTTTACTGTCATTGTATCTTTCCTTGAGCCTTAAACAGTTAAAACATATTTGTGAAGTTTTTTTTTTAACATTTTTGACACTGATTGGCTAACGATGTGTGACCGGGCTGATAAGTCACTGGGAGAGAAGCTGGAAAGCCGTCTGAACGTGAGATCAAGCATCTAAAATGAGTGAACAAGATTCTCGATTGGTTGTTGTGTGGTTCCAACAGGCAAGAGAAGAAAGATGGGAAGAGATCAGATGTGCTATGATGTAATGTTAAAATTAGATATTCCTTGGTGAAAGGCTCTTGATGAAAGATATTCCAGCTCTTACTATTCACATGAAGAAAGAGTAGATGCATCATGGTAAAGTCTAAGCTGTGATCGATTCTGACAGGGAAGCTGGCATCAAACCACATTGAGGATTATTCAATCAAAATCCACTAAACCAAAACATTTTCATGTCTGGATTATTGTCATCTTTTTGGCCAAAGGAGAATAAATGTTATTGGCTTTGACTATTGAATAATAAGATTAATGCTACTTTTTCCACGAGAGTGAATTTCATTTAGTGAGCTATAAACAGGACAATAGTTCAAAGTTGATTGTTTTTCACCAATGAACAAAGCTGTATAAAGGGTTTATCAAACAGTAAATTTAAGAGTGGCACTCTAGCATAAACTAAAAGAACGTCTAAAAGAAGAAAGAAAAGCGACCATCACGATCAAAAAAATCTACAGAATGAAAAACAATACTCCATCTTCTACACACATAAAACAAAGTGTTTTTTTTTGGCTTCCTCACTTTTTTTTTCCAGCAGTTGCTTGATGAAACTAGGAAAAGTTTCTCTTTTATCTGTCTCTGTTGGAACGAATCTGGCGTTTATCACTAATCAGGCAATTTAAAATTTGAGATTGTCTTAGTGAGACTTCTTTTTGTTCCAAAGTTTTGATCTTTTTGGAGAAATGATGTCGGTAACAGTTAGGAATATTTGTGGTTTGATCGTCTTTAATTCCTGAAGAAAAACTTTGTAAGTGTTCTCCAAAAAATATTGGCTTTTAGGTTGAAAAAAGACTTTTAATTTACAAATACATAAGTGATGTGGTTTCTCTGTTTTACGTTCCAATGTTTGACTTTGTGACCCTTATGGCTTAGTGGAGAAAACTAATCTGAAGGAGTTAGTCGTTGATTAGGTGATGATAGTTTGATACAATGAAATGATGTTCCTGTCTTTACAGAACATTTACATTTGCGAGTCCTAAGAGATATTCGGGGACCTCCATGTGACTCAGGTAAGAAGAAAAAAAAGTCTACATTTCATGTTTACCCTATCTTCGGTTACGCTACTGACCAGCATCAATGATTCCAGTGAACAAACAGGTTTCCCTTCCTCTCAAGGTTTACTTTAACGGTGAGATTATGTTTGAATAAAGGAACGGGAAGGGTTCCTTTCGAGTCACGAAACGTATGATACACTCATAACATTTTTAATTGTCATCCGTCTTGAAATTGTAAGGATTTTTATGCAGTTTTTAAAAAAATAAAAAATAAAAACAAATGCTTATGCATCTTGATCATGTTAACTCTTCGATATATTGTGGTCCATGGAAATCCTCCATTACTCAGCATAGTTAAACTTATAATTAGATAAGGTTAACAAACCAAACCAAAAAAGCCAAAGCAATTTATACACCGACATTGTGATCGCCTCTTAAATTTAACATTAAAACCAGGAATATTTTTCCAAAACGCACCGTCTTACACCATCCAAACGCCATCGTTTCCAAATCGTTAAAAGTCCCAATATTTGTATCACATTAGAAAACTAAGGTATTGAGAAGAAAAATATAATAAAATATGTTTGTAATAATCTTCACACACATACATATTGTATACTTCCCAGCCATAGAATTATGTTATAACGGAGTTAAAGAAGGTCAACTTCACAACACCGATCGACCCAAACAATGACGGCATATGATAACAAATAATACATAAATCAGACCCTTTTAAACAATAATTTAAAAATACCAAATGAGTTAGAATTATGTCATCAATAATAGATATTAAAAATTTCATATAAGAAACAAACATACATAATAATTTAAAAAATACGCATACTTGACTTCTTTTATTCACATTTTCCGGAATACACCAGTTTCGTATTACTAATGTATCATAAATAAAGTTTATCTATGGTACTTTCCTCTGTTTAGAAAATATTATTTCACATTACTATTTTCTCATATTAAAAGGTGATTTACTATGTTCCAAATCAGAGTCACGAAAAAAATAAAACAAAATCGTAAAAAATCATTAATCAAGTGGTTTAAACCAAACTAAATTAGAACCCACCAGTTAACATTACATAAACACAAGTGTTACATCAAGAAATAAATATATTACAACAAAATGTTAGTAAAGAACTCACACTTTTAAAAAAAACTAATATGATACAATATAAAATTGACAATTTTTATAACAAATTAAAAAGAAGAACAATATACATGTTAAGAAAACCAAAGAATCACAAATCTGAATATGATATGAACGGTTAACAGGTACCACCCATGAAATGTATATTAAATAAGGACATGTATTTAAAACACCGTTCCAATAATATTGAACTTCAAGAATCAAAATATCAGTGTTATACAAAACACCAGTTTTTTTTTCAAACTATCAATCAAATATTGAAGGACGAACCTAAGACATATCAAAAAAAAACACACGTTTCATCAAAGGCAAATCAATTATTTTACAGATACATCAAGTATAAGGCAAACTCCAGTGGGACACCAAAACACCAAATTTGGTGTGATCTCATCTCCAATGAGACACTAAAAATTACACCATCCCACCAAATTTGATATAGAGTGAATAGTGTTACATCAAATTTGGTGTACAACTATTCCTCACGCCAAATTTAAAATAATGTATTTTATTTCTTTTACTT